GTTTATGTAAGCATCTTAATTTCTTTATTAGTAGTTTTAAGGTTTAGGTGGAGTTTAACAGTCATATGTCCCAACTTATTTAATGAAACTCCATGCATGATGTCCATTGCTATTCTTCTACCTCATATCTCCATATGTCCGCAGGACTGACGCATGTTAAGGCAAAAGAGAGCATGGAAGGAGCAAGCCCATGCATGCTTTCGCTATCTATTAAGTGAGAGTCATCAAATAGAAGAGTTAATGGATTGTACTTTATGAGTCATTCGAAGGTATTAATAATATTAATTATCAGCCATCATGGAGATGATGATGATGATGATGATGATGATGATGATGTCTATTAAATTTATTAGAGGCTTTGTTCATCTGAAGATGAACTCAGGTTGATAATTTATGAGGACAAGGGGAGGGTTTATAATTCAAAGTTGTATATTCTATTGTGTGTGATTAGGATACTTTTTAATAAGACTTAGCAAAACTTTCGAATATGATGGCACAAATGACATTAATTTATATTGGAGTAAATTTATTATAAATTTTATATTGAAAATGACATAAATTATGCAAAATATTTTAATATATTTTGGCTTAATTTTTTAATTTTTTAATATATTATCTATTTATTAAATATGAGAAATCACTTTATTATTTAAGAAATTTGTTAAATTCGCCTATATATAATTATTACAATAATTAAATTATTGTTTACTTAAGTAAGAAATTTAGTTTAATGATAATTTGGTTAACATTATTGAATAAATATTTAATTTAACTTAGCAAGTTTATTGATTCCAATTATTTTTCAAATTCCTCTTTAGCTTTGTAGTTGTGGGGTGTCAATATTTGACACAACCCGAAAATTCTAGGTTTGGTTTAACCTGTTTGTGAAACAGGTCAGGTTTGGGTTCAACAAACCAGCTTATTTTAAAAATCGGGTCAGGTTCGATTTGACCCGAAAACCCAACAATGATTCGTTCCAATAAACTTGCTAAGTTAAATTAAGAAACCATACAACATAAGCTAAACAACCAAACATGTTCTCCCCCTTTTGAAATCACCAAAAAGAGGATGTGCACAAAAAAAAAAAGTATAAGAAAAGAAACACATACCAGACACAGACTACTAGAAAGGTGGATCCTGATCTCGTGGTAGTGGTGGTGGATAAAAGAATTTGTGGATGGATGGAAATTTATTATCTACCAAGGCAAATCTTTCTCCAAACCATCGCATGTCGTCCTCGTGATGTTGGTATTGTTGTTGGATATGATAGTCTAGTCAAGTTTCCAGTCACTCGAGCCGCTGAGTGATATCATCCTTAGGGTAGGCATGCAAGGTAGGCAGGTGCGGGTGGTGGTATTGATGGCGGTGGATGTCCTCCTATAGGAGTAGCTTTCGCTTCTTCATCAAAATTCGGCTCAGCGTGCTCTGGCCCCCGATGAAAAATGATAAGAAAATAGGCATCTGTATAAAAAATAGGGATATTATCGGGTGGAGCAGGAAAGGTGAGTTAGTATTTATGATTAAGGATATAGCTTACTATGTGTCCTAAGGCTATTTTTTTTTTCTACAAGTGTTTGGATGTCAAATATGAGTCTTATGTTATGGAAATAATCAAGAATCAATTGGGCTTCATCAAATTGAGTATTCAAAATTATAAGGTAAGTGACAAAGGAGAGAAGTGGGGTTATGTTAACACGATCTCCAACTTTGGGTATAATAAACACTACAGGAAAACCAATGATTTTCGGCGAAATTTTCCGGCGGCTTTCCGGCGGCCAAATTTCCGGCGGCTTTTTTCCAGAGAAACGGAAATGAGTATTTTCCTGTAGTGAGAAGTGTGAAGTACATGTTGGATTATACGAGCATTTTGATTTTAAAATTTATACAAGGGGTTGGTGTAGATTTGAAGGCACATTCCTAATAGTTAAGTTAATATTAATCCAATCAAACTCATGGGAAATTAGGGATTTAGAGCGAGGTCCTTCAGAAGAGATACCTATTTATTCTGCTAAATCAGCTTTAGTAATCTTTATATTTGACTGCAAACAAAGGAGGTCATGGTGGAGACTTCTATGTTCATCCTAAGATTTGCTAAGAATTCGTACAGGACTTCAGAATTGAAAGAAAAAGCCAGGGTAAGTTAAGACCCAAAAACCTAACAATGTCCCGTTCTAATAAACTTGCTAAGTTAAGAGAGAGAGAGAGAGAGAGAGAGAGAGAGAGTATTTAGCCCTTACTTACTAGCATGAAAGACATTCTATATTCAAATTATGCAACCATTTGAAAGAACTTGAATTTTTTTCATTGCTAATTAACTATTGAACCTTTATCCCTTGTACATTTACTCATGCTTAATTGTTGTACTCACATATGCCTTATATGTATATTAGCAAGTAGTTGGCGAGTCACAAGAAGAGAACCAATATTTGATGGGCCCCACACAAGATCTCCCCTAAGAAGCATCAGACCCCACTCACCTGGCCATACGAAGGAATGTCATCACTATCGGGGGAAATATATGTCTTTTTTAACCTTGCAACACTCTGCTTACCTCACGGAAGGAAAGCAGCCATCACAGTGACTCGCCCTCGCCCGAGGAAACTACTTTGATCCTCAAACATCCAATTCTATCTATAGGAAAGTGCTTACCCTGAGGGCCTCAGCTTGCCCTATTGTAACCAGCCGACTACTGAGTTCACCTTCTCTGAATCATCAGTTGACTTGCATTTTCCTTTAGGCAATCTGAGACTGAACACAAGTCACTAGCGACCTCCAAACACCATTCAATCATCGAGCAGCCCTCATTTGAAACTCACTCACATACCTACCCACTCTTACTCAGCATTCTTGAGCTTGCCAAGAGAGATAGATCATCAGAGTTATGCAACCTTTGCTCTCTATCTTCTAATTGGGAAATAACATGTGTCTTTGATAGTATGTGTAGTGTTACACTTTTTTCATGTAGCTATCAAAATTCTATAAATAAGAGATGATGAGAAGCATTTTGCATCTTTTGATCTTATGATACTTAGACCTTTTTTGGCTGATCAAGCTTTTAAGTACTTTCATTACATCTTTTATCTAACATTTACCTTTTTCTCCTTTCACTTCATTCTCTCATGAGTTCCATGTGACACGCTCACAAGTCAGCCTATCAATAAGATCGGGTGTCATCCAAGAGCAAATTTGAATTCAATAATTACAATATACACTATATATTTCTAATTAACTTCCAACCAATAACATGTTATTTATTATATTAATGTATCATAATGTCAAATGAGTTGTGATTGAATTATTATGCTAGATGATATATATATCCTAGTAGCCGATAGTTTTGAAACCAATTTTGTAAGGGAATTCAAACTGCTATAAGAAATTTATCAGTGACCTCTATATTTATTATAGCGGTTTGGAACTACTATAAAAATTTTTATAATGTTGAGCCCTACTCATCCACTGTAGAACAAGCAAAGGTAGCTTGTAAAAAATGAGTGAAGCTTTATACTTCGTGTGATGAGCATCACTCCTGTAATGTACATACAGTTCATATATTCAGCTCTTCTCTTCTCTTCAGCTTATACCACCCATTTCTCTCTTTTGAAGTAACTAAATACATATTTTGTTAACTACCCAACTTTCTACTTATATTCATAATTAGACATGTTATTTATCTCTTATATGATTCATGATTTTATAATTCGTTAAACAAGAAATTAGTTAAAAGAAAATGATTGAAATTTGGCAAGTTCATGAGTAAAATTATTGCGTCCTCCTACCTGACGTAGAGATACGTCCTCCCAGAGCTAAAATCGCGCTAAAAAACGAGAAATATCGAGCAAATACCGAGCAATACCAAACAATAACAAAGAATATCATCATGTGAAGACCAATACCGAGTTATACCGAGCAATACAAAGCAATACCGAGCAATACAAAAAAATACCGAGTTTTTTCTAGGAAAAACTAGGTATTTTTTTTGTATTGCTCGGTATTGTCGGTATGCTCGTTTATAATTTCGGTATTGGTCTTCACATGATGATATTCCTCATTATTATCAAATAATACCGAACAAAAACCGAATTTTTTGGCAGTGGAAAGACGTATCTCTACATCAGATGGGAGGATGCAATAATTTTTCTATAAAATGAGACAGATTTTGTTTGAGACAACTTTTTTATTGTTTTATTTTTCAAGCAGCAATTATAATTTTTATTTAGTCGTTACTATTATTAAAAAAATAATAATAATCAAACATAAATTATGATTGTAATCTTAAAAATAAAACAACAAAAAAACTACCTCAAACAGAGTCTAAATTGTATAGAAGTATTTGGCCAAGACAAATTTGAGAAATAAAATTATAAGCCAATAGGATAGGCTTGGACGATCCCAAAATCAGTGTAGATTGAACTTAGTTTGATGCAACCTAAATGCATCATAATCAACCAAGGCTTTATTTTGGCGAGCAGTAAAAACCATCCAGACTGTAATTATACAAACTATATATAAAGTGGATAAAAAAATTTGATACACACTATCTATAAATTTAAACACAATATATACACACATATCCAGACAATTCTTCCTATCCGAACTCCGCAGAGAATAATTTCTCCTCGCCAATAAACCTTAAGTTTAAAACTACTGATTGATCACTAAATCATAATAGTATCATCTACTGAAATTCTTACCCCCTCACGAAATAAAATGGTATTAATAAACAGCAAAATTAATTAAATTTATTATAATTTTGAGAATATGAATTGAATGTTTAATACAGCGTTAGGCCAATAAAAAGCAAGAATATTAGTCGAATATTAATAAACCATTTTTGCATGGTTGGAAGCAAAATAAGCAACCCATTATTACAAAAGAGAGGCGCTTCAGAAATCCTGATCATAGAAGACATACAGGTAAGGAAATAAGCAAACCCATCTGTGCAGAAAGGTAATCTCAACTTACAAAACTAAGAAAATGTGGAAATTTTGCTAGCAAGATTTTGCGTCAGAAAAAAATGAATTTTGCTTTTGGAGCAATGAGTTCTTCAACCAAAAAAGTTCAACCACTCTTACAAAAACTAAGCAAACAAAACAATCATTTTACAGTCAGAGAGAAAGAGACTTATATGATTACCCTCCTAACCACAAATTACAGCCCAATAAATACAGAAGAAAGCATACAACAATGGAATACATTATAACAAAGAAGTGAATCTTCTAATATATATATATGAATGGAAGAAGTATGATACAAAAAGCAGCTTCTGAGCTTTTGTACTGTAATGTCCTTTTAGAGAAGAGTTAAAAAAGGACAAATGAAAGAATGCTCGTGCCTTGGGTTTGGTATAATCAACCACACAGGTAGAGCAGCATGTACATAACTCGGTATCGAGTTAGCATTTAGTTATGATGATCTAATTTGTGTTTTTTTGTTGCTTGCTCTGATTCATCGCTCCTGTTCCCTGACCTAGTAGAGTTCATTACAAGGTTGCTAGATAATGGCTCATCCTGTTCCTGAAATGCATTTCATCAGATAGAATAGGTTTATTTGCATGGCCATCATACAAAATTCAGCAGGATAGACTAAAAAAATGTAGCAATATGTTTTAACAAGGCACATTTTGTGATGACAAACTTCTCTAAGTTTATTGGAACATAAACCTTAAGTTCTGTCAGGCCAAAATAAAATCTATGGTTCTTCAAAATATATTGAAGCAAACATTAGGATAGGAGTTGGGCTGCTCAATGATGTTGGTTTGGATCTGGCAAGCAAAGCTTGATGTCATAATTTGTTTGGTTTTTGGTATTTTGCTTCATAAAACAATTTTAATTTGTTCGAGAAATCTATAAGAAAAATACTTAACAGGACATGCACCAAAAGACTGAAAATGTGCAGCATTCATCAACTTTATTAGAGTGAGAATATGTTTATTTCATACGATGCAGCTTTACCATGCAAATAAAATGTTTTAAGCTTGATAATGGGCCAAGCTTTAACCAGTTCAAGCTCTATATTTTGATATAATTACGTAATAAAAAATAATTATAACTAAACATTGGGAGAAGTGACCTTGGCATAAACCAAGCTTCGGCTTTTCCCACCAAGCCTAATTTAGCCTAGAAGTTCACCAGAATAAAGCAGTACATAAGTACTACTTTATTGTATAGATAAAGAAATATTTAAGTAGAAAATAGTAATCTTAAATATTTATTGACTTTTTCATTATGAGAGCGTTTTCATTACTAAGTTCAATTTTCATGCAAATATATTTACTCTACCGTCTAATTGGGATAACATGACAGATTTATACTAGGTAGAAATCTTTATCTTCCTTTACATATAGCGTTTTAGCCTACAATGCTCAAATATTATATGATAATCTATCAAATGAAGCTTACAAAATGGCCACCCAACTATCTTTTTTATTCCTAGATGAGGACCAAGATTAGAGAACAAATTAGTATTTATTAAATGCATGACCGTAATATGTTCTATGCACTCTTTTCCAGTGGCCTTGAAATTCATTCACAAACATTATTTAACTTACTCCATGAAGAAGGAATATATGCTGACCATCGAACAGCTCCAAATAATACCACAGCTCAGATGTGATGGTAAATTAAAGCTGAGTTTATTCACATGATGATCAGAACCTATTTTCTTGGATAGTGAGGACTCTGCCTCAAGAGAATATTTTACTGATTAAAAACTATGGAGTGTTAACCCATTATTTTTTACTCACAGAAAAATGGTGAAGGAAATAAAAGGCATCATGCAATTCATTCATATCCTAAGAAGAACAAAACAGAACTTTTTCGTGGGAGAATCATCTTTCAACATAAAGAGAAAAAAAACTAAGTGGGAGAAAAAAAAATTACTACACTTTTATGGAAAGCATAAACATTTAATTGAAAGATAACAAAAGCATATGCATATACCTTTGGAGCAGCCATACTTGAAGCATTACGTCTGCTAACACTTGCTCTCCTCCCCAAGTTAATATGTACAGAAATGCTAGCTTGTGAAAGATCTATGCCTGAATTCTGTAAAGCTTGGCTAAGAGTATTTAAAAGCCTGTAATACATTGAACAAAACATGGAAATATATGCATATCTTTTTTTTCCAAGGAACTAAGAAATAAGAAGAATATGGAAAATGATTAGACATACCCTTGAGAATATTCAGAAGACACACTAATTGTGCCCTCATCGATTGTCAACTCCTGTGCATTTATTTCATCATTGCTGACATTACAACCAGTAGGGAATGAGGATCTCAACCACTCAGACTGGGATCCTGTGAAAACTGTTTCAGGAATCAATCTTTGCTGAGGATGGCTAACATCACCAGTCCCTCTTCCTATGGAAGGGTACAAGTTTGGCTGCAAAGAAGCTGGTGAAGCTGCAACCTTATTTGAAAAACCATTAGGGTTTTCCAATTCTTTGTAAGAAACACCAGCAATCAAATCAGATTCCGTTGGATTTTGAGAAGACGAAAGAATTGATGGTGCAACTGGAATGCTACTATCAGACATCAGTAATCCAGAAGAAGCACCATTCTTCAACACTTGAGGATCAATCATGCCATCGCCAGAGCCATGGTGATTGTTCTGTTTAACAAAAATAACTGTCGTTCAATTAGGATGAGAATCAAGAAAGAAAACATTTATCACAATTGAGAAGCTTTCTCAGACATGCATTCAAATGCCTAGCTAGTTAAAATTCCCACTAAGAAACTTTAATGACATATACCCGTGAATTTTTCCAGAATGACCTAAAATAGACCTTTACCTGCCAAAAAACAAATAAAAAAGAAAATCAATACAAAACTTTTTTAGCGAAAATGCCCGAGCTACTTGGTGCTGGTTGGCACTAGTAGAAAAGTCCAGTTTCTTTTTCTCTTTTAAATAAACCCAGAATACCCATAGTTCAATACAGACATTAACACCATTTAAAATCATAGGCTAATTTTAAAAATTGAAAGTTAAAAAGAAACAAAAAGCACAAAAGAAAACAATAGAAATAGGACATAGGGAAAGCATGATCAATTTTTCCGCATCTCTTAGGATGGCTACAATAATAAAGACCGCTTCCAAAATTTGACTATTATAATACGAAGTATGTTACAAAGAGAACCAAAAACTAGTATGACCATCACTGGTTTAAATTTAGTTTTTCCTAAATTAAATATATCTCCCATTTTGAAGGTTCATAAAGGAGAATAAGGAAAATGCATTTTGAATTGCATAACATCAGGTTCCGGTGATAACACCAAGTCAAACTCAGAATAAAAATATGCATGCGAGTGAGGCCAAAAATGACTTAGAACATTCACGCATTATAAACAGCATTCAGTTAACAGATGATTTTGAATGATTTCAGGTACAAAAGGTTGGAATCACTTCTTTTTTTTCCATAAATAAGAATTATTATATTCTTAAAAGGTTGGAATCACTTGCATTTGCATCATTTCAGAAAACAGGAACGGCGTGCTGTTCTAACATTGTTGCATATGCACAATTTTTGTTGTAAAATAAACGTAACTATTACCCAAGGCATTAGTTTGGCTGTTTCATCACTCCATCCAGGGTACATCGACTCATATTTTTGTAACCTCTCCTGTAAGAACTGGATGTATTCGATAACCTGAAAATCGATGTTTATGATGTAAACTGATTAAAAATTACATGAACTACGTCATCTAAAATGAGAGGAAGCTAGTTAGCAAGAAGATATATACCTCCAGGAGAAATGAAGCTTTATCCCTTTTCTGATCGCTGTTTGGCAAAAGCCCTCTGAGTATTTGAAACCTGCCAAAAATGTTTAACATCCATTTAACTACAATTGCAAGAACAGACTATTTAAATTACAGCTTACTTATTGTTATCGTTCTCTTAATGCAGAAAAGATTGTAGATACATAATTCCTTTATAAATGCACGCCAGTTCTACGGACTTGCCAAGGATCATCAGCAAACTTTGCACATAATGGTCTCCAGTGTTGCTATAAGCGCGTTAAATATATGCTTCAACGGTGAAGTGCTTCACTTTGCCCAAAAGCAATGAGCAGAACAATAGCGGGCCGAGTAAAAGGCTTCACTTCTGAAGAATAAAATGGTCTAAGAACATGCTTCAGTAACACAACATACTATTTCTAATGAAGTTGCTGCTTATGCAGTTGGATAGTTTCTTTTGCTTCAATTTCTCATGTTGCAATCAATTATTTGATCATAGTATTCTGTCTGATAACTCAGATTTTTTTTAAATTTCTTCATTAGACTTCTAACCACTATCAAAATTGTTTTCATGAAAAATGAAATGCATGTAGTATCGATATTCCCTTATTCTTGGAATGCATCGGTTTGTTTTTCAGAACTTCATTCTAAAATTCATTAAAAGATAAATCTGTGTGGAAAAAAAAGGTAAAACTGATGCGGACATCGGTACGAAGATTTGGAGCATCTATCACGGGAGGCGTCGCAAATCGACGGCTATCATTTAAACTTTCTATTATGATTTATTTTTCTGAATTTTACTTCTAAATTAATGTATTTCCTGTTTTACCCCTAGGATAGTTTGTTTGAGTGTTATGGCCCAAGGGACAATTTTGTAATTTCGAATTTTCTCATATTGGGGCCTATAAATAAGGGCCTTAAGCTATTGTAATGGATGGTTGATTAATATGAAAAATTGTTTCCCACACTTGTGTTCTTCTTGGGAGAGGACGAGAGTGAGATTTCTATGAGAGAAGTCAAGAGTTTCACCAGCCGCAGGATGGGTCCGAGCTCGTGATTTGAGTCCCTTGGAGAGGGCAATCGTATCACCCACCAACCTTGGAGACGGCCGGGTTCGTGGTTTTATTCTTTTCGTTATCTTTTCATTTTCTCTTAATCCTTCCCTTGTAATCAATTAGTTTCCAATTAGGGAAGAGCTCTTCATTAATGCAAATTTGAATTCCAAAATTTGAATTCGAATTAGCATTATTCACACCATTAATCTCTCCCACCATTTAAGCCAATCGTCATTAATTCTCAAATCTGAATTTAAATTCAGATTTAAGACATTAATTCCCTCAAATCACTCTCCAAATTAAATCACCTCCACCTTGGCTTCACTCACATTTATTACCTTTTTCCCCTTTTTTTGCTCCAGCCGAAATTCCCTATGCCTTTGTCTGTTTGATTAATGGCTTGATTTTCCAGCAACTAGCAATTTCTAATTAATTGTTCCTTAAATTCTAAGTCCCTCATTTGGAAACAATTTCAATTGCTGTATTTCCTCTCTTGGCCGAAAGCTTCCCAGGCTATCACGTGGAATTCCTCCACTAGATGCTCCCGTGAACAAAACCTTGCCTAAGCATTACTTCCTAATCTAGTTCCCAAACTCCTCCCGTGAAGCATTCCTTCTACTTGGAACCTGAGAATTTTCTCAGGTTTTGGCACAAAAACCTGAAGAAAAAAATTTCAGATTTTGTGAGCTAGAATAAATCCAGATTTATTTCAGTTTTGCAAGGAACAATTTCAGATTACGGAGAGGAGATCCTCTCCGTAGCAAAGCCGGTGCTTTCGTTCTACCACGAGATTCACCAAAATTCTACAGACTTATTTCCTCATCTGTTCTCCCTATTTCCTAAGCTCAAAACTCTGAGAATTCTTACAGATTTTGGGATGAAAATCTGAGAATTTCCAAATTCTTCCTTCTTCCTAGCAAAGCCTCCTACCCGTTTCACATAAAAAACTGAGTACATTAATCGCTCCCAAGATATAATAGCATCAGTGGGAGCTGCAAGCACTCTGTGCGCTCTTTGTACTGGACATACATTTCTCATATCTTTTTTCAAGTTGGAGTTTGATGTTGCTTGACGCAGTGTAAAAATTTTGGTGTTTTCTTTTATAAATTATTTAGTGCTGGAGTCTCAATAACATCATGAATTCATGATTCAATCTAATTTAGCTTGGAAATTTGTATGTAGTTTGTATAACTCGATCTAGCTAACAGATTGAACCTTCTGAAACTTCTGCTACATGCCTAATTAACATGTAGAACTACAAAAGGAATCTGATTCAGTTAATTAAACCGCCACTTCCACTGCATTTTGTACTTTAGAGCAAAAGAAAAGCTGCCTCCACTTTGCTTTGTGAGATGCAGCTTGAAAACAAAAATGGTCCCAAAAGAAATCATTCACAGGATTTCAAGGAGTCACTGGACTATATGATTTTAAAATGCCCACAGAATAACTTTTAGTCCGCAAACTGACAATCAACCAACTAGATTACATGGGAAACCAAACATTTCTCCAATTCTGCCCCCTATATATATTTTTAATGAGATCCTCTAAAACGAGATAGTCTTTCCATGGTGCATTAAAGAGTTTGATTTTCGCTACCCTTTATGAGAACATCATTTGATCACATTGAAGACGTAAATTAATCTCACAAAATCATCTTCCTGAAAAGGTCAACGTCTTAAGGCCACATATCACCTAAGTCACATTTAACATCCATTTTTAGACTTCCATGAAAGCAACTTGATATCTACAGCAAACGCGAAAATTTAGGCCTAATAAAAAAAGCAATTTATCTCTATAAAATATTTTAAGAATAAAAAAGGAATTTTTCTGCATAAAATGTTTTAACAACCCATATTTAAATGATTTACCTATGAAGTTACGAGATCTTGCTTTGAACAAAACCCTAGAAAGAAATTGGTACGAATTTGCTTCAGGGATGATCATTAGAAGATTTGCTAGCATCTTCAATTGATAGTGATGAGGACATCAGAAGGAGATTCCGGAATGTCTATCATTGGAAGCAGCGCAGAGCGACGGCCTCGATCAGAAGTCTTTATTTTTATTTATATTTTGTATTTTTTGTTTCTTTTATTAGTTGTGACGATTGTACCCTTTATTTGTTTGTGTTTGAGTTGTAGCCCCAAGGGCATTCTTGTCTTTCTTTTCAAATTGTTTGGAGACCTATATATAGGTCCTCATCTTGTATGAGAGATAATGATGAATGAAATAAATTTTTGGTTTTCTCTCTAGAGCTTGGAGTTCTTGAGTGATGAAGTCCCAAGGTGTGGGCAAAGCAATACCCACCAGTCGCCGGAAGTGTCAGGGGCTCGTGGTCCGACTCCTCTTACTTCATCGCCGACCTCCCTAATCGTCCTTACCCGTTGGCTGCCCTTCACCACAGCCGCCAAATAGCCCTCCTCCACCGGCCACTCTTCCCACCTCCTTCTAGACCGCCGGCCTCCCCTCCCTTCCTCCCCACCGGCCAAGCCCCCTCCATTCCCAAGCCCACCGCCAGCCACACCACCTTCCCCCCCTCTTAATGTTGAAATTCAATCTTCATTAAGACATTCCTAATTTAGCCTACATAATTTGGGAAAGATTTCATTCTATTTGAAATTCAAAATTTGAATTTTGAATACTTTCCTAAATTAACCATGTCGAATTAGGAAAGTTTCAAATTGCATCTAATTTAATTTGAAATTAGATTGGACCTCCTTATTTCCTTCCTAATTTAGCTTCATAAATTAGGAATCCTCATTAACTCCCATAAATCCCTCCAAACCCCATGCATGCCGCCGGCCCCTCCATGGGATCTCCCTCCTCTCTCCTCATTAATCCCCCTCCACTTGAATTTGATTTTCAAACTTCAAATTCATAAATACCTTTCCTATTTTACTAAAATATGAAACTAATTTCAAATTTTGTATTATTTCCCCTCTCCAAACCCAAACCCTAAGTCCACCAAAAGCAAGCCCCTCTTCCCTTAGCCGCCCCTTCTTCCTTCCCACCTCTTGGAAACCCTCTTGCCTCATGAGCAACACTCCAAGAAAGAAGAAGGCCTCCCTCCATCGACAATCCCCTTGATTAGTTCATGGCCGATCCGGATCGTGATTGTGGATTCCTCTACGACAATCAAAGTTTAGTGAATATTCATCAATCCATCCTCTTCGACCGCGATCCATAAGTGGATAACTCCGTAGAAAATCACATCAATCACACCTTATTCACGTTGGCGTCATCAATTGAAGAGCATCTACCATCCGGAAGTAGGCGGAACATTTGGTACCCACCCACGTCTTCTCCCTCTTTGACAAACTTTCATTGGGCTACTACTCTAGGTGTCTTCTCAACTTTGGTGCTTAGTTTGCTAAGGTTCTTTCCCGCTAACCCTTACTAGAATAGCTTGAGTGAGGGAAACTCAATGTGACTTTTCTATTTGTTAAGTGTGGGATCTCTTGTTTACAATATTTAAGTTTATCTTTTATGATAGAGATCATTCTCAAGTGATTGTTATTCTATCTTGTAATTGATTGCCTTTACATTATTGGTGGCCTTAAGTCTAAGCATCTAATATTGTAAAACATTAGTTTATATTGCAAAGTTTAAATCAATTTCTTTATAATCTCTAATACAATTCCTTTTGGTTTCACATCAGATAGCTTCGTGGAACTAGTGAGATAACCCGTCAAGAGGAAAGTACTACCACTAAACCCACAGAAAAAGTTAACCTATTTATCAACTAGACCAGAAATTGAAGGAGAAAATAATGTGTTCTTAAAAGGTAGCAAAGATTAAATATTATAGAGGTTTATAATAAGAAATCTACAATTCATGCAAAGAATACAACGAGCAAAGAAAAACTATAATATTTAATTATTTATGTTAAATACTATGGGGTCTCACACTGTTATACCCACTCGTCCACCTCATTCCTGCATTTGCCCAAATTTCCACCCTAGTGGAGCTATGGGTCCCACTACGTAACCAATTATAGTATAATTTATTGAGCACACAATTTGAG